GCACAAAAAGAAGAAGAAGCATTGGGTATTCTATCACGTAGAGAAATCCCTAACATTATTCTCTCCATTACCCTTTCCGCAACTTGAAGTTTACTCACTGTTGTTCTTGTGAGTGTTAGGGTTTCTTCGCCGTAGGTCATTACTGGCAAAATACACTGATTAAATACTTTTCTTTTCAGACACATTGGAATCTTAGACCTAAAAACATCCTTCATCTTTTCAAATCCAGCCCAAGCGAGGTTTATTCTTCTTTTCAGCTCGATTGTTTGGTTGTCTCGACTTATTTTGATCTCATGGCCTAAGTATTTATAGGAGTCAACTGGCTCAATATCTTTGTCTTCTACTGAGATATTTTTTTGTGGACTAAATTTGTCATGAATTGTGTTCTTGAAACATTTATTTTAAGACCAACTCTTTTTGTGGCAGTATGGAGTTCTTGGAACATTATCTGTGCCTGATCAAAGCTGTCTGCAATAAGAACGATATCATCTGCAAATTTAAGGTTATTTAAAAAATTTCCTTCTACATTGATGCCTTTTTCGTTCCAATCTATTGTTTTACAAGCGTATTCTAGCAAAGTTGTAAATAATTTAGAAGACATGTTGTCTCCTTGCCGAACGCCCCTTTCAATACGAAAGGTACCACAGTATCTTCGTTAAGTCGTACACAGGCTGTAGCATTCTGATAGATGTATCTGATGAGGGATATGTATCGGTGATCTATTCTACATTGTGTTAGAACTTAGAGCATTTCACTTTGATTTACCATATCAAATGCTTTTTCAAAGTCGACAAAGACAAGTATAAGGGGTCTATTATAATCAATGGTTTTTTCAATCAACGACTTAATAGTTTGCAAATGATCATTTGTTCCGTATTCAGCTCTAAATCCTGGTTGTTCGCAAGGTTGATAGAAGTCTAGTTTTGATGTTATTATCTTCATAAACAACTTATAAAGGTGAGATAACAAGCTAATAGGTCTATAGTTCTTAAGCACTGTTATATCACCCTTTTTATGCATGACTACTATAACAGCTTTATTCCACTGAGATGGTGTAACCTCTTTTGAAAGGCATAAGTTATATAATTCTGTCAATGTTTTCAATTCTGTCTTTTCTCCTGCTTTAACTTCCTCAATAACGATTTGGTCATCACCAGCTGCTTTTATGTTTTTCATTCGATTTGGGATATTCTCTGAACCCACATTCTGTACTTTTCACAACTTAGTGCCGTCTTTCTTACTCCTTTCTCTATATAATTCTGTGTATAATTCTTCAACCACCTTAATTATCTTATCTTTATCTGTTACCACTTTTCCATTTCGATCTGCGCGCTTAACAATATTCTTCCTACCTAGAGCTTTACATTTCTGTAGCACCTTTAAACTTTTATTTTCCTCGACAACCGTTGTAATCTTTTTTGTGATATATTGTCGTACGTCCTTTTTCACTGCTTTATTAATATCTTAATTAAGTTGTTGTAGTACGCGTGCATTCGTATCGTTTTTGTTCTTAAGTTCTCTTCGTGTCTCCATAAGTCTTTTTGTCTTTTGACTGATTTTTTCCTCCTTATCTCTTCTTGGATTTGTATTGCACTTTTTCTCTGCGTTCTTAACAGCTTTTATTGAGTTATCATTTAAGGTTTCGACATCCATAACGTCTATATTTGTTGTGTTTAGACATCTCAGAATTTCCTCTTCGAAGGACATGATGTTTTCCATTGGATTCCATCCTATTGGGTTTGTTTTTGTTATCATTTTGTATCTTTGTTTTTGGAGATTTAGCACGATCTTCGCTCTTACCATTCTATGATCACTTCCCACTGAACAGCTATTAAGAACTGTTACATTATGGACCATGTCTTTGTCGTTGGTTAAGACAAAATCAATTTCATTTTTGTTGACTCCATCTGGCCTTGCTCAGGTCCATTTTCTTTGGGGATTTTTTTAAAAGGCTATTCATTGCAAATAGGCCATTTCGTACCAAGAAACCCAAAAACATTTCGCTTCTTTCATTTCTTTGTCCGAATCCGTAGGGACCTATTGCAACTTCGGTCCCGTCCAGTTTACATCCCAACTTAGCATTAAAGTCACCCATTACTAGGTTGTATGTAGTAGGCGCCAGTTTTACGTTTAAGTGTATGTATAAAGTAAATCCATATAAATGTATATATGTAGTTCAAATGATGACTAGGAAGAACCTACAAATCCATACCGAACAAACAATTTCAAACAATAATTTGTTAATATATTAATTAATTAATAAATAGTCTAGTTTGTTTAAATAATTCGTGAAAAATAATTTTCTTCCAAAAATCTATTTTTTAATACTAGCATCATTAATAATCATAGAAAAAATCGCGTTTCTCGCATTAAATTGTTAATAATTAAAAAACGGCTCCAAATTCAAAGCAGAAAATAAGTAGGTTTTCTTCCTGTAGGTCTACAATAACTGAAAAGTTGTCAGCGACCTGGATTATTGAGTGTAACGAACATGGTCTATTTTTTTCTTATTTTCCTGGAGTATATATTTGATTTACATCTGTGTAATTTCAATGTCGCTTCCTCGCTGGTTTTGCATATTGCTATGATAGCAGTATCATCGGTAAATGTTGCAATTGTATTATTTTCTAGGACAATAATATAACACATATACAAAAGATAAAGGCACTTCTTTGTGGCAGCAATGCTGTTATTTCTTTCATTTTCGTGTATGTATGTTCCTGTTTAATTCTGAAATATGATTTCAAGATGCAGGATTCAATTATCTGAGAGTATCGTTTTGGTAAATATAGTCTTAGTTTATAGTTATGGCGTCTTTGCCATACTTTATCATATACCTGAGTCACATCCTAAATTGTCCATCATATTATCCTTCATGATCCATGATTCACATCGATATAGTAATACAGTATATTTACATATAACAAATTAAAACCTTAGTTGTATATTTTTGATAATTACAGAAGTCGCTCTCTTGTCTGTTGACTCTCTCTCTCTCTCTCTCTCTCTCTCTCTCTCTCTCTTTCTTAGCCTTTGCTTATCGAGAGAAATAGTCGCTCTCTAAGCTGTTAACTATCGCTAAAGAGAAACTCTCTACTGATTTCGTGATCTCAGTGTTAGTACCGCGAAACACGTATTCAGAAACCGGTGCCCGGACAGATTCCGCATAATATGAAGAATAACCGCGAGTGTGTGAAGCAGATATATTGGTAAGACTTTGTATAAACTTAATTTGCTATTGTCTGTATAACCCTTTACTACATATCCTAATTTATTTGAACCAGCCCTATGTAATACATTCCACATACACTAAATTATACTCATAATATCACATATGAACACTATTTTTGTACAGTATACATCTAAGTTTCATAAATACTCCTCATAAATCTCATAAATCTAAACTTTTGTAATCCGTTCTATGTTGACAATTAGTTGCATAGGGCCCACGTCTTGTTTACTAACCACAAGTACATTATCTTATTCCTTTTATTTGCCAATAATAATTGTCTGTTAGATTAGTATTGTAATAAGTAAATTAGTCTCTTATTAAATGATAATAAACAACACATCAAACTTATTCTGAAACTATTTCTTGTGTCATGTTATATTTTATTAGATTTTGGTGTAATAAACCACCATGTTAGATTTATTTGTGCATTTGATATCCTCATGAGCAAACCTTGTAACTCCAAATTTTTGTGAATTTGACCTTTTGGTATCTCTATTGAAACCTACGTATTGGGAAAGTCGTGAGTCTCCAGTAGTTTACTATAACTAATAATTATTCGTCAAAAAGCAAATCTCGTATCTTCACGCGCATTAAAAGAAATTCTCGTAACTCATAATACAAATATTTTTTGTATTTTGTAAAATTGCAAAAAATATAAAATTGGTTATTATTATAAAACAAACTTGATCTTTAATTTTAAAAGGTAACGTTATGACACAAATTATATAGCATTATATTTGTAGTAAATTTTTTTTTATAAGAATTTGTTGTCTTTATAAATTTGTTTGATATAAATTAACTGTTTGAATTGCTTTAGCACGATATTATTTTTGGACCAGTTGCCTATTATTTTAAACCGGGTTTCTGTTTAAATCGATCTTCTTCCTATTCTTTCTCTTTATAAGCGCTTCCGCTTGTTCATTGGCGGATTAATACCTATATGGAAGGTTGTCACACCATCTTTCCGGTTGTCACACCTGTCGTCCGATACTTCTTCTGCCGATTTATGACTTATATTTTGATATTTTGACGACACTGGTCTTCCCCATTTTGCTTATGTAGTTATTCCATTCTTTTTTGCTATTTTGTGTCCATTCATTTATACACTGTACATTACATTTTCTTCTAATGCTTTCACTTCTCTTTCAATCTCTCAGCGTATTTTCACTATTTCCGGGTCTTGTTTCTGAGGCATGTGATTATTTGTCTTACACTGACTTTTGTGGACCGCCTTTGCAGACTGTTTTCATCTTGAGATCGATCGAATTTATAACTTCTAATAAAATACAGATTTTTTAGTAATTTTATTTGTTTCATCTTTAGGATATCGGAATGTCATATAACGAGAATTTTGAACTTCTTTGAAATCATTAGAAATTGAAATTCTTTTTGAAATCTAAACATATAGTACTAGTTCTCAAATTATTTTTGTGTGCCAGTTTACTTACCACATTTAATTATTCATCTTCAAGCAACGGAGTGAAGTTAATTCCTGAACAAGGGAACAACCCTAAGCAACAAGATTTAAATTCAGAAGTTATTGTTATTCTTTCCAATAAATAATTTACAAATAACACTGGTCAACAAAAATCAACTTTTTTGTGACATGGATAGCACATATGTTCATTATGTACAATATTATCAGAAAGCCAAAAAACTTGAATTTTTCCTATTACCCACACTTTATTTGCTACAAACAATTGTGCACTGTAGAGGAATATATCAATTTTAGTATGTTACAATCAATCACAGTACACTTTCATTACAGATGCCGACGAAAAAAAAGCATATAGCCAAGGTGATGTGAGACATGCTTTAGATGCCATTAAAGGAGGCACACCTTTTTTAGCCGCAGCGAGGAAATATAATCTGTCGAGAACTGCACTTATTGGAAAGTTCCAGGGCATATACTCAAAAGATTGTCGCAGCGAAGCACCTTCTGTACTATCCATTCATGAAGAAAATCTATTTATTATCTTTAATCATTCATATATCTAATGCAAAAAGAGTATATAACACAGATAAATCTGCTTTTTTATATAGCAAAAACGTAGCAGGGTACTTGCCAAGAAAGGAAGTAAGTTACTACTCACAGAAAGGAGGGTATAACCCCATTCGCATTTGCGGACGACCTCGCTATGCTGATAGTAGCGCGGGACTTGGAGGACCTTAACTTTCGTACACAGAGTACATGCAACTACGTTGAGAAATGGGTGAAAAAGCATGAGCTAGAACTGGCTGTGGGTAAGACCGAGGATATAATTCTCAAGGGACCAAGGAAAAGGGACGGGATAACATTTGAATGTGCAGGAAAGTGAGTGGTTCCAAAGAAATGCGTGAGGTATTTAGGGGTAACTCTGAGTCAAAACGGAAAGTGGAGGGAGCACGTAAAAGCGGTGACTCAAAGAGCTGCAATGAGATCCGGCGCATTGGGAGGGATCATGCCCAACATCGAAGGGCCCAAAACTGAAAAGGGGAGGGGCCTTCATTACGTGGTGCCATCGATCGTCCTCTACGCTGCGCCTGTCTTAAGTTCTGTAGTTTTAACAGGCGTACAGAAAACAGCTCACCCGGGCAGATAGGATAGGAGTCTATTGAGGGTGGCGTGTGCATACAGAACAGTCATTGCCGAGGAGTTAGGAGTTATCACTGGGTGTATTCCTATGCACGTGCTAATGAAGGAAAGAGGAAAAATATACGAGAGAAGAAATGAAGACAGCAACAGAACGTTTAAAAAATAAGAAAGGGAAAGATCCATAGTGGTATGGCAAGAGGAATGGGATGATATGAGAAGAATGGCGCAGTGGACGAAGTCGTTGATTCCTAATCTGAGAAGATGGATGGATTGCGAGGACCAATGTTTGAATTATTTCCTGACGCAGATGCTCACAGGACATAGTTTTTTCAGGGCATACCTTTACAGATTTGGAAAGGCAGAAAAAGACAAATGCCTGTATTGTGAAATATTGGACATTGTCTCACACACTCTATTGGCATGCGATAGATAAATAGTTGAGAGGAGCCTGCAAGGAGCCTGAGAAGTAGGGTGCAATTAGTCACGAAACTGGTGGAGGAGATGCTTAGGTCGTCAGATCGGAAGAGTGCAGAGATCATGTGAGGAAAACATTGGAAAGGAAGGAACAAGAAGAAAGGCGACCCGAAGGTAGGTAGAGTGCCCAGGACCTTCTTCTTCTTCTTAGGGTGCCTGTCCGTTCCGAACCTTGGCGATCATTCTGGCTATGATGATTTTGTTGGTTGCTATACGAAATAGCTGTTTTGAGGTCTTTCTATACCATGCTCTCAGGTTAGCAAGCCAGGATATTCTTCTTCGTCTTGGGGCTCTTTTTCCTTCAATTTTACCCTGCAAAATGCATTGGAGTAGCTCGTGTCTGCCTTAATTTCTCATTATATCTCCCAAATACTTCAGCTTACGGCTCTTCACAATGTTGACAAAATTCGCGGTTGTGTTCATCCTCCGCAGTACTTCTTCATTGGTGACTTTGTCTATCCATGGTATCTTCAGGATTCTTCTGTATAACCATAATTCAAACGTCTAAAGTTTTGATATAGTTTCCGCCTTCAATGTCCACGTTTCTACTCCATACAGAAGCACTGAGTACACGTAACATTAAAGGAGCCTTATTTTTGCCAGTTATGTTTTGCTTGCTGATGATCATTAGCTTGGTTTTGCCGGTGTTTATATCCAGTCCATATATGTTCTACTTGTTTCTGTTATTTTGTTCATTAAGTTTTGCAGCCTTTCTATGGCCCAGGACCAAGCAAGAAGATAAGGCAGAATGAGAAGGGGTGAGATTTAACATTAATAGGGAGAAATTAAGGGAGAGAAGAATTCCGTCGTAGTGAGAAAGTGCTAGAATGCGTGAGAATTGTGCGTGAATGAAAGATCGGGTGAATGCCGTGCTGTTCACGGCTGAGGAGGGTGTTTTTTAGCAGGTCTAGCATTGACGTCGATGGTATCCGAACAACCCTAACACGCGGCCTCGGATATCATCGTGGCCACGCTGGAGGAGTCCTGCATAACAGAGGCTGGAAGGCGGTTCTGCTCGCTTTCGACCGAATAGAAAAAAAGACCTTGTAATAGTGAGTCATTTTCAATATCTCGAATTGTTCGTTCAGCCAGATTTTTCGACTAAATGCTATGGACTGATGGGTGTAGACTAGACAGGTGAAATTAAAGATAAACGTTTGCATGAAGTTTGGTACAAAATATATCAGAAATATGGATTGCCTCAAAATAATGAAAAATCCCCCAACATTATAATAGATATAGAAGAAGGCCTAATTCTAGAAGATGAATGGGAAAATAAAGCGGAATTTAAAGCTGATCATACGTTACATGGGGTAATTTTTAACATAGAAGACACAGGTAAAGATACTGAAACTGAAACAGAACTTCTTAGTCCTAGGAAGTATGCTAAGAAAAAAATAATAATTGAAAAACAAGCAACTAACCAATGAAAGCAACTAAAACGAGAATCGACAAAAAAAAGGTGGAAGTTTATTAGTAACAATATTAGTGACCAATTAAAGAAAAATAAGAGAGAAAAATAGAATCAAATGAGAAATTACGCAAGAAAAATATAAGAAAACCTAGAAAAAGGGTTATTAAAATTAAACGAAAAAAAAAACACAGAAGAAGAAGATCAAGCAGTTTTTGACGAAGAGTCAACTCAAGATAACGATGAAATTGAAAATTCAGGTAAGACACAATTTTACTTAAGTAGGTTTTTTGCTTATTTGTACTCTATAATAATAATTATTTTACAGATGAAGTTTTATTAACCACATAAAAATAGGTGATTTTATAATTATCACCTATTTTGAAGAACATTATTCAGCAAATATTACAGATAAAAACAGTTTAGCTAATGTAATGGTTAAGGCTGGCGATTGGTGGAAATGGCCAACTATAAAAAATGAAATTTGGTGTGATAACCATGGAGTAGCTGTAACCATAACTATTTTAGAATAGCTCGAGACAGAGACAGTTTCGCCATGTTAATCGCCAACGTCAAGGGGACTTGATAGGGCACGTTAAGAAGAAGAACCATGGAGTGGTTAAGAGGATCAAATCTCCCACAGACATGGCTAAAAGAGAATTTTTTTTTATTTAAGAATTAGAAAAGCACAATAATATGTAATGTTATTAATTATCTGTCTTATTTTGTATTAAACTTTTATTAACTAAGTGATTTTATTTATTGTCGAAATAATGCTCCTCAAATGTCTAAAGGATCAATGTCAGAATTAGGTTCACTGATATGCCATGTCTTTGAAAGAAACGGCACAAACGATTCTATTAGGTTACAAAAAAGACTACAAAAATGTTTCGGAACAAAAATGATGATATTTTGAGAACAACCAAGAAATATAGATACCTAACCAAGAAACAATACAACTTTAGATAGAGTAATAACATATAAATCCTAGAAAAAAACTTTACAGAAGAAGAAAAAAATATACAGAATAGGACTGCTCTTTTAATTTTAACGAATTGGTGTATTTGCAATTACAGAAAACTATTTAATAGATCACAAAATTATACGTGCAGATCAACCAATGCCGACAATGGATTATGTTAAATTTGAAAATATTTTATTTTTTGTTTGATAATAGATTTTTGTACAAAACGGCTAATAAAATTTTATGTTAAGAAAGCGTAACTGATTTGAAATGGATTTTTGAGTATATAGAATGACAATTTGAATATATATGCCTCAGTCGACAAACGGTCGATATAAAATCATTACTTGCAATTCCAGGTATATTGTAAGACGAGGGAGAAATATTACAATATAGCAAGCTATCAGTCGACTGTACTAAAATAACTGCACTTGATACTAGAAACTTTAGACCCGACATTCTAAGAATTTCATATTACGTGATTTACGGAAACGGAGATTTGATGACATATACTCTGTAACAACAATACCTAAATACAAACTTTACTAATGAAAAATGCCTGAAAGGCTACAACTACTATAGACTGGGAGATTATGCAAGTATTGTATTATATTGTTTTACTTTAATAATTGGATAAGCCTTTTTGTTTTGCTTTCTTGAAATAATTGTTTAATGGTTTTTGTTTATTTCTAATACTTGCTGTTGCTAACTCTCTTGTAGATACTTATATTTTCTTTGAATTACCTAGACAATTGCATTGCCTTTTTTCTTTCTTCTCAGGATTTTTAGATCTTCATTTTTTATAAAAAATAAAAATCTAAAAAAAACACTTATTACCCTTACATGTACATATCAAATGGTATTTACAATACATTACAGTCTTCTTTCTTCTTCTCCAACTTTCCGCTTTTGCACCTCTTATTTTGTGGAACCGCATACTTTTCGGGTACCTGATTATCTATAGTGTTAGGCTCCTGAACGTCTGTTTCTGAAGGTACGATTTTTGGCACGGTACCTACTTGCCTGCTTGGCTGTCTTCGACAACCAATGGCTAGACTCTGATTAAAAGGCCAATCAGTTTTAGGGTTTCACGATGTATATTCTGCAGTCTGTTTCTGTCGGAGATATCCCTGGCCTTAAGGAGTCTTATTGTAGCCTGGTAGAAGAATTTTCTGTTCCTGTTTCATGACCACCTTCTTCAGCGGTGTGTACCGCGGAGCCTTTCTTGGATGAGCATGCCGTTTTTATTCTTAGAGGCTTCTTCCAGTTGGCCTCCGCTATTGAATTCCATACTGAGACTTCATACTTTTCTTGACGTGCTGGGTGTGTTTTGGGAAGTTTAATCTTCTGTCGAGATATATTCCTAGATACTTGACGACCTCATTTGACTTAATTATATTTTATTTCATCATTAATTCTTCTCCGAATGGTAAGGTCTGCTATGTAAAGATGATGAACTGGATCTTTGCTGTGTTAATCTTTATCTTTCATTTATCTCTATAGTCTGCAATTCTCTCTAGATAGCTTTTAAGACAATACTTTTGCTGCCTTTGTCTGAGATTTAGATTGAGGTG